CAGATACCGGCAGGGGCCACCCAGACGTGCAGCTCCACCCTGTACAGATTCCCGCGTTCTGGGTCGTTCCCGGACAGAAGTGATGTGGAGGTCGCTGGGGGTTTCGGTGTCACGAACAGCAGTTCGGTTTGGAATAAAGTAGCAGACTGCAAAACCCGGGCACCGACGTCCTGCTGAGCGCTGCATTCCCACCCGCCTGCACCTGCCTCCCCCACATCCCAGGGAAGGGAGTGCTCTGGCCTGCAGATTGAGCCATCACGGTGCAGTCAGTGCTAAGGCCACTCGGCCCCCCTGGGCTACGTGGAGAGGACCAGGTCAGGACCCCAGTGTGAGGGAGAAGGAAAAGACTGAAGGAGGAAGCAGTTCTTACCCGAGGCAGTGGTGGACTTTAGACGGTAATGCGGATTTTTAGACCACCTTGAACTAATATTAGAGCAACTGCTCCTGCAGTGCGGAACTTTGTTAATGGGTTTTTCATCCAAAAATATGTGTCTTAAACTCTTTTCTCATATTTATTTTATTTTTCCTCTTTCAGATTGGTTGCTTGTCCTAACAGAGATCCTGTTGATTGGTACAGTTATATCTCTGTCTTCTGGATCTGTTTGTCCATTTTGTTTTGTTTTCTTCTGTCATTCCATACCTGTGAGAGTTTCTCTTTTTTTCCTATATTTTTATTGGCACAGTTTAATTAGACCTAATGGCGGGATTCATTGTCACATATTCATATATGCACACAATATACCAGCATTCCCCAGTATTTCCCCTTTCTCTCCCATTATGTGATCCCCCACCTTTCCCCCCCACCTTTTTTTTTTTTAACCAGTGTTAGTTTTCTTCCCAAGTTGTACTATCAGCATTATTAAGATGCAGCCATTGTCTTGTCTTCATCTTGGCCTTTAGCATTTCCCACCTTTGAAGACACTTCTTGGGCTCCACCCCACTGGGGCAGCCTAGGACCCAGCAGACAACTTTTTCTCTAGCTAGAGTGCTTTCTGCCACCTTCCTCATGGAAGCTATTTTCCCTTTTTGCCTCTGCACTGAGTGCTTGTTGTTCCCATTTAAACTGTAATGCTTCCTCACCCATCTAAGACCTACGTATGCTTTGAGACCCAACTCAGGAGCCAGCTTCATGGTTTCCTCACTACAGTTTACATTGGTCTCTCCATTCTTAATTTTATCTCAGATATCTTCAGTATTAGAGTATTATATATTCTTTGAGGGTGGGAGACTTATCTTTACTGTCTATGCTGTCTCCACATCACTCAGACAGTGCCCCTGAAAATGGAAGAAAACAATCCTAATCAAAAAATACCTAATGAGTTATCTCTTAGAATATAATAGTGTAATGACCACTAAGCTCAGATACTTTCTGAGGGTTTTTTTTTTTTAAGTACTAATAATGGATATGAGTTAATTCATTCCCCCGACAGATTTTCCTTCTTTAATTTTAGGAAATACTTGAAATACTGAGCGTCAGACATCGTCTGAGGATTTATAAACGATATAGATGCAGTAGCCATCCAGCTCATTAGAAAAACCAGCTGAGCACATCTAAAAGAGCCGTGGAGTTTTCAGACTCTGTCCCAGAGCTCTGAAGTTCTCCATGATGACTTGGGTATGTGGACAGCCAGGCAGCACAGGACTGAATAGACTAACCAGCCTTACCCCTGCCTGCTTTACACATGTACAGATGAGAAGAACTGGATTATGTTTGTACTTAGGATTCCATTTAAGATTTTATTTCAAGTTAAAGAAGGAGTTCTTTTGCTTTTTAATATTTTAAAACTTCAGTAGGGCAGAGTTTAACTGGTTGCTTAGGTGAGAAAGATGTTGCACTCACAGCTTGTTTGAAATCTTAAGCTAATTACCTACCTGAGCATCAGCCTGTTGCTTGTTTTATTGAAGGGTATGAGATACGGTCATTAGTCATTGGAAGGTTATCTAAGACATGTCATAGCTCATCAAATTACATGATAGGCTTCCACACAGAAAACAGCAGCATAGGCAGGATCTAGACTGTGTCAATAAATGCCATATTCATAATTGTCATATATAAAATAATAACCAGGATTAGAATTATTTCATAAGTGTAAGAAATGTCAACATATTAACAACCATTATCTCTAGGAATGGGATCACAGATAATTTTTATCCTTTGTGCTTATCCATATTTTCTCAATGAAAATGCATTGAGTGGGAATTGTAAAGAAAGTTATTTTGAAAATAAGTTGAAAATAAATGAGATAATCTAAGCCAAAATTACTATGTAAATATTTCTGACATTAGGTCACATTTACTCAGCGTGTAAATGTCAAAGGATTTTAACTATTTATAACAATGCTTTTCAAAACAAACTTTATGGAGCTCTGTGATTCCTCAGGGGTCGCTCCAGGATAACTCTGAAGTGAAGAGATGAGTAGTGAATGTGGCTTCAGACCTCTATTCATGATGCTCAGTTTTAATGTTCATATCTGTAAATATGTCCCCCTTTTTTTCCTGGTCCTCCTTAAGATATGTGTAAGAAAATCACCCTTGGTGACCCATGTTCAAAATGGAATCATTGGATAATAAGCAGAAACTATAATCATTTTGTCACAATTCTAAAAAGTAGACAAAGATATATAACAGCCAAGCTAAAGCGAAATTTACGAAGTAGTAGAACAAAAAAGAGAAGTAGACACTTGCACAAAATTTTTAAAACGTCAATGCCCACTTTTAGTAATGGGTAGAATGTTTAGACCAAAAAAATGTTAAGAAAGTAGAGGATCTGAAAACTATAAGCTAACTAGACTAACAGACATGTGGAATGCTCCAACCAACAGCAGCAAAATGCAGATTCTTCTCAAATGTGCACAAAACATTCTCTGAGATAAACCACATATCAGGCCACAAGACAGTTTCAATAAATTTTAGAAAAGTTTGAAATTGTACAGAGTATCTATCTTCTCTGACCACAAACAGATGAAACTAGAAGTTAATAACAGAAGGTAAACTAGAAAATTCACAAATAATATGGAAATCTAACACATCTTTATAAACAACTAATGGGCCAAAGGAGCTATCACAAAGGAAATCCTCATGAGAAAATTAAAATTCGTCATATGAAAGCTTATGGATTACAGTGAAGACAGTGCTCAGAGGAAAATCTATAGCTATAAGTGCACATTTAAAAAGAAAGTTCTCAATTATCTTCTTTTATACCTTGAGGAATAGGAAAGAGGAGCTAACTAAACTCAGAGCTGTCAGAAGGAATAATAAAACTGAAAAGGAATAAAAGAAATACTGAACAGAAAAACAGTCAAGAAGAGTTGGTGAAACCAAAAGCTGGTTCTTCAGAAAGGTTAACAAAGTGACAAACTTTAGGCCGGGGATGTGGCTCAAGCAGTAGCGCGCTCGCCTGGCATGCGTGCAGCCTGGGTTTGATCCTCAGCACCACATACTAACAAAGATGTGTTCGCTGAGAACTAAAAAATAAAATTCTCTTAAAAAAAAACAAAAAAAAAAAGTGACAAACCTTTAGCTAAATTGATAAAAAGTGAGAAGACACAAGTAAAACCCGAAACAAAGGTGTAATAATTATTACCAACCTTACAGGGGGGAAAAAAGGATTATAAGGGAATACTATGAATAATTATATACCATCAAATTTTTCCGCTCCAGAGGATGTAGTGTGCATGTGCAAGGGACCATCTTGGAAGCAGAAAGTGGCGCTTTCTGGACACCAAAACTGCTAGCACCTTGGTCTTGGGCTTCCTGGCCCCCAGGAGATTCATGTTGTTTATGCATTACCCAGTCTCAGGTATTCTGTTCACCAGAACACTGAGGGCAATCAGGTAGCAGTTCTTAATGGTCCTGCACATAATTCCCTTTTGCCTTTATACCTTTATTACTGTCTGAAAGGGTGAAGTTTTCAGGAAGTGAGAAAATTGGAGAAAGTGGAGCAGCTTGGAAGACACTAAGCTCTCCCTGCCCCCAGGTTTCAGCTTGGAGCCAGGAGGTAGGAACAGTTGAAGGCAGGAAGTCCTCCTAACCCTAACCTGTTTACCCGTGAGTCTTTACTTCCCTGATGCTGAAGGATTACACCAGAGAGGCAAGGTCAGAGTGGAAAGTAGAAGCTTTATTAAAGGACAGTAAAAAAGACTTCTCCCCGAGGAAGAAGGGGACCAAGAGGTGGAATCCGTGGGAGGGGGAGGCTTCCTTTTTTTTTAATCTTCACTCAAGATTTCCCTGTCACAGGCACTCCTGTCCTTTGTCCTGTTATCTTGCACTGATGGAATGTAGGTGGGAAGGCCAAAAGGTGGGGGACCCATGGGCCAAGCAGTAATCTGGGCAGGAAGGGCTTTGTTTGCTGGAAGCTCTTCATTAACATTTCCTGGGATGGGCTCTGGGCCTTGGGGACATTTTCAATTCCCCTTTTTCTGGACTCCATTCTCAAGATGGCCTTTATTCTTGATTTTACTCCATATTAGATTTACTAACTACATTAACTATCTAAATTTAGATCTGGCTTCATCAGGACCCAAGATTAGACCTTACAGAAGCAACTGAGTCCCACACTTTGTTCTAGGAACCGATTGAAAATCCCAGATGATTGTGGCTACCTCAGGAGAAGCCACTTGTTTTTTTTGTTTTTTTAAATTCCTCACATTCTTGTCTTTTTTTTTTTAAGAGAGGGGAGAGAGAGAGAATTTTTAATATTTATTTTTTAGTCACAACATCTTTTTTGGTATGTGGTGCTGAGGATCGAACCCGGGCGGCACGCATGCCAGGTGAGTGCGCTACCGCTTGAGCCACATCCCCAGCCCGAGAAGCCACTTGTTAGAGATGCTCATACGTGAGACAATGCAAGAAAGTGTAGAGGTGAAATGATTGGGTAATGAGAACATTAACCATATCAGTACATTAATACCCTGATGGGGATAAACTGGGTGGTAATTGTAGGCAGGTAGTGTTACCGCTGTTGGCCAGTGAGGAGTCCTTGCTTCCCCGATGTTGAAGAATAACACCAGAGAGCACGCAGAGGCAAGGTCAGAGTAGAGATTAGAAGTTTATTAAAGGACAGCAGAAAAGACTTCTGGAGGAAGAAGGGGACCCAAGAAGTGGAATCCGTGGAAGTGTGGTTGTCTCCCTTTTTATAGGTTTGATGATGAAATGCAAGGGGGAAGGGTTAGGACACAGGTGGGTCAAACGGGCAGGAAGGACTTAATTATCACTTTTTGGGATGGGTTTATCTCTGGGATGGGCTATCTCCAAATCTGTTGGGGGCTGTTTCCTGGGCTCCATTAACATTTCTTGGGGGTGGACTTTGGCCTAGGGCCTTTCTGGGACTTCATTAACATTCCATGAGTTGTCCTGCATTTCCCGGAATCTTTGTCAGCGTGGCCTCCATTTTAGATTTCACTCAATATGATATTAGACCCGATTTACCTAACCAAACTGACTACCTAACTTTAAATGTGGCTTCACTGGTGCCAAGGGTGCTCCCTAGGAAGCCAAGGTAATGTGTAGTATACTCTCACTTGAATGAGAAATACTCCATCTGTTGGTAATGCAGATGAAGCCAGATTTAAAGTTAGGTAGTCAGTGTAGCTAGGTAAATTGGGTCTAATACCGAGTGAAATCTAAAATGGAGCCATGCTGGGAATGACTCAGGGAAAACTCAGGACAATTCATGGAATGTTAATGAAGTCCCAAAGAGGCCCTAGGCCAAAGTCCACCTCAAAGAAGTGTTAATGAACAGCCCCCAACAGATTTGGAGATAGCCCATCCCAGAGAAGTGATAAGCCCATCCCAAAAGTCCTTCCTGCCCTTACATTCCATCAACAAAACTATAAAAAGGGGAAACAACCGCACTTCCACGGATTCCACCTCCTGGGTCCCCTTCTTCCTCCGGGAGAAGTCTTTTCTTAATAAAAGCTGTGGGAGCAAAGTAGGGCTGTTGTGCTCACTGCTGAAGTGTGTGTCATGTTTGGTACATGGCAGGGACTCACTTTCATATTTGCCTAAAGGAATATGTACTCTTGGACCCCTGAATACTTTACCAAACAAGTTTTATTTTTATCCACCAGAAATGGGAATTTATTTCACATCTATCATCTCCTCTTGTATTGTTTTTTGTTTAATAGAACTTGACCTGAGTTTTTGCCTCATGACCTCTGTGTGCTGCTCTGCCTCTCAGCTTTTGTTCCACCTCTAGCCAGCAGCCTTGGCTGTGTATTGGAGTCAAAACTCAGTGGAGGGCCCCATCTACTTGTCTAACTACAAAGCTCTTATCACAAGCTGTTCTCCAGTGTAGAAACTGGCTGCCCTTGGGTCAGGTGGCCACTTTTGTCCTAATAAGAAGGCTAAGGTGATATTCAGATTAAGGTTACCTCTGGGTAAGAACTACTAGGAAGGGTCCTCAACAGGACTTCTATTAAGGGAGGGCTGGCCTTTGGGCACTGAGTGGTTCAGTACCCCGCCCCATGCTAGTACTGTTTGCTTGTGTTGAGGACCGCAGCAGGGGACACAGAAGACTCTGAGCCATGCCTCTGTAGCACTCACAGACTTCAGGGCCCAGGCAAGCATAGTAACGGATGCAGAGTAACAGCTTGGTAGAGGCGGGCATCCCTCACTGAAGACACCCAGGACCAGCACCCATCCACATTGGAGTGGGAGACAATTTCCATCCTCACTGACAGCTTTCTGCTTTAAGAGTATGTTAAATAGGAAAGTTCTTTGTCACATTTATGTCCTTTCATTTCCCTGTTTAAACAGTATCTTATTGAAAAAGTAAAACTGAGAAATGGCATTGGACATATGCTCTTTTACTTGAAACTCTTCTTCAGGTTTGTAAAGAGCACTGTTCCTTGACTTTCTGGTATTTTCTTAGGGAATAGTGTGTTCCCGATTTGTTTGCCAGGAACCAGGCGGACTCCTTGTCTGTGGGCTGTGACCCTGGAGCTGGGCTGAGGTCCAGGGAGAACTTACTCATTCTGCTCAGGCTCCTCCTGCTCTGCTGCCTGCACAGCACGCCCAGCCACCAGGTGTCCCATCCGGCAGGACACATCAACGTGGGCAGGGAACCTAGATGGGGAGGAATGAAGGGACAAGAGACACGAAAGGCCACAAAAGTTCTGATCAAGCTGCAAACTTTTATTGTTCACACAGGGGTATTTATGGGCTGGGGATGGGGAAGCTCTCTAATCAGCAATTGCTGGATGTGGGTGGGTATTTATATGCTGGGGATGGGGAAGCTCTCTAATCAGCAATTGCTGGATGTGGGTGGTAAAATTGCCAGCTGCAAGATGTCTGATGATCCTGATAACCACAGGATGTTCCAGGGAGATAGGTAGCTGCAGGATGCCTCCCAGGC